TGAAAAGAAACCATTAAAATAGTCAGTATCCCAGCACTCAGGAGGCTGAGGCAGGAGGATCACTGTGAGTTTGAGACCAGCCTGGACTACAAAGTGAGCTCCAGGTCGGTCTCAACTACATAGTGAGACCCTGTCTCAAAAAACAAACAAAAAAAGCAAACAAATGTAGATCATATTCACTATTGACAATCAATTTATAATTTAAGAAAGTACCAGATTACCATTATGTTCAAAGCTAAAGACAATAGATACTTTAATTTTTACAAGTATTTTATGACTCATTTTCCAAGAAAGAAGTATGGTAATTTCTCTATAGTAAAGATATATTAAAAAGAAAAAGACCCACTTTAGGATTGTTGCCAACAGCATGAAAAGAAAACTGGAGGGGAGGATCATATGCCGTTTTCTTGGAGAACTGGCCTTGGCTAGTTTTGCTGACATGAACTTGGCTATTCTCATCATCAGAGCAGCTCGGGTCCTTGCTGTCACTAGGAATGGCTGCTGTTCTAGGCAGGGAAACACTGGTCTTTACTTTGAGCATCACTTCCTGATACCTGTGCAGATCTCTCAGCTCGTAGGCACAAACCCTTCACCCCACCAGCACTGACTTTCTAGCTGTCACCACTGGCCTCTGGGCCTTCCCAGTGCAGATCCTTGACATGCACTTCCATGATATGTGCTTTAGGCCTCTGGATCTACTCATGGATGACATTTCCTTGGGCTCTAGGCCTTCAGCTGGACTTCTGTGGGTCATTTCTGAGATCGTGATGGTTGGCTGTGTTCTTTGGGCCTCTCAAGTGTAGACAGATGTCTCATACGCTTCTGCATTTGACTTTTTTGGGTGAATATTATAAAATAATTCTGTAAGTGAGGTATCCTATACTGAATCTATTCCCTCACAGATTCTGACTAACAACACTTAGTGAGAGGAAATACACATAATACACATCCCTAACATCTCCTGGAAGAGATGAAAGAGTTCAAAACAGCCCAGCGTAGTTCTACTTCATTGGGTGAGACCATTGTGCTTCTCTAAGGAGCTGATAAATCAAAACAAAAAATACTGAGCTCAAACTAAACTGTATTGTGATTGTCATGTAAGTTGTTAGTTCAATGTTGTACTCCCCATTCTATGACATTAACGGGGAATATTTTATTTCAGAGACAATTATAGTTTACATAACTAGCCATGACTTTTTGTAGTCATTACATAAATGCTGCCTAGTGTCATTACCCTGATGGCATGACTATTTTATAACTCTGATCTACTTCTTCATTTACAGAGTTTTCATGGATGACAAAGAAAGCACTGAGGTGCACTCTGTTGCGTTGCAGTTATGTTTGAAATGTCTTTTGAATATCCTTTCATCTGAATGACTTCAAATAATCAATAGATGAATAATATAAAAATTCTTAGTCTTCAAAGTTGATTTTCACATAGAAATACAGGAATATTTACAGATAATTAAGTTTCTTTCTCTGGGATTTTTTTTTTTTTTTTTT